AGTACATGTACATGTACACATATACTGTGTAGCTAATTAAGAGGTGTGGTCAGGTAGTGATGTACATGTACATGTAGGTTTCCCATTAGTATACATTAGTATTAGCTCTTATTGTACCTTTATCTACTAGTACTTCAATTTCTTCTTCATCATCAAACTGCATTCCTCCTCCTCCTCCTCTTCCATTAGTATCAATTGTTGGTCTCAACTCACCAGCAATAACCCTCTCCTCACGTCCCTTCATCCCTATTAATAATAATAATAATAATAATAATAATAATAATAATAATAATAATAATAATAATAATAATAATAATAATGATAATAATAATAATAATAATAATAATAATAATTAATGGCAACAATGTAAAAAATGGCTCCGAAATCACTCCAAATTTTTATTACATTTTCTGTTACATATTGATGTACTTATGCTATGTAGAAAGTTTGAGCTGATTCTGAGCTTGAATTTTCAAGTTATGACCATTTTTTAAAATGGGCTAATTTTTAAAAATTTCCCTGTACTATAGTCCATGGTTTTTTCCAAAAAAAGGCTCCAAAATCACTTCAAATTTTTATTACATTTTCTGATACATAATTATGTCCTTATGCTGTGTAAAAAGTTTGAGCCGATGCCAACCTCAATTTTTCAAGTTATGGCCATTTTTTAAAAACAGCCAATTTTTGAAAAATACCCAAAGTGAACTTGATAAAATATCAGAAGTGAAACAGCTCTGGTACGCCGACGACGCCACAGGAATGGGCACTGTAAAAGGATTGAAGAACTGGTGGGACAAGATCAACTTATTGGGTGAGTCCTATGGGTATTTGCCCAATGCGGTGAAATCCACTCTGTTAGTGAGGCCGGAGCTATATGATGAGGCGTGTAAGCTGTTCAATTGTACAAATGTGTCTGTGACGAGTGAAGGTGTGGTTGTTTTGGGGTCTCCTGTTGGTTCTCCTAATTATGTCCAGTCTGTGATTAGTAAGAGAATTGATGTTTGGTGTGAGAAGTTGAAGGTATTGGCTGATATTGCAGTGTCTCAACCACAATCAGCATATGGTGCATTCACTCATGGTCTCTTTGGCGAATGGACCTACTTATTCAGGACATGTACAATTGATGAGAGTTTGCTACAACCTCTGGAGGATGTATGAGAC